TTGCTAGCTAAAGGATGGAAGCAGATGGCGAGAGGCCCATCTGCCTCATGGTGCCAAGAAAGGACCACATGTCTCTCTTTTGATGTGTGCAGGAAGAGAGCTTGTCTTCATCTGCATGTGAGTGGGAGAAAGAGGAAGGGGAAATTTGTCCCTGAGAGCACAATCTGCATTTCAAAGGGGACAGTGGCAGAAGAGTAGATACAGGAAGAAAGCTCAGTGTGCCTATCTAGCTATCTAATCTCTCTTTCCACTCAGTCTGGAGGTCTGAGACAGGGGACATTGCATCTGAAACTAGCAACACTTCCCTAGCCTTAAACTGCCATAAGGCAAGAGAAAGCAAAGCTGTGGCAGATGATCTGTCTCCATCAGTAGCCATTTCACCTGACTGCACCAAAGGGAAAGGGGAGGCCGTGTGAGGCCTTTTCACTGGCCTGCCTGGGACCAACTGTGATTTGGCTCCTCCCCTCTCAGAACTGTCTCATGCAGTGGTCTTTCCATCAAATCATGGAGGTTGTGCCCTCTAAGCTTCACAGTGTTGTGAGCAAAAATTCTACCTCATGAGTGAAAAAGCTAGTAGCATTAAAGTTGTGAGGGAGTCTACATTTGACTTTTGTGTAAATTAAATTTTAGAATATTATTTCCATAACCTTGTAAAATACTTTTTAGCTATATTTAGACTATATTTTAAGAATAATTTAAACATTATAAGAGAAAACAGAATCAAATCAAATTTCGTTACAGAAAATGTTGTCCTGTATGGGGGTAGACCAGGCCTCTGGAGAACAGGTCTACCTGCCCCTTTCCACTCTATTGGTAGACCTGGCCTCTGGAGAACAGGTCTACCCACCCCTTTCTGCTATATTGGTAGACCTGTTTTCTGGAAAACAGGTCTACCCATCCATTTCCATTATATTGGTAGAACTGGCCTCGGTCTGTCACCCTGTGCTGAGCCGTTAGAAAACATACCATCACTTGGCATGGGGGAAACTCTTGCAGTCTACTTTGGTTTTTTTTAGTGAAATATGGCAACCAGCATTACAGGTCAAGTATAACAGAGGTGGAACAATCACTGTCAGAACCCTGCCTAACCTAACAAACAGGAAGTTGCTTAAATGTTATCAACCTGGCCAAACTACTTATTTATTCAAATATTTATATCCCACTTCTCCCTGTGACTCCAAGCAGGTTACAAATCATACTGAAAAGGATAATAAGGGTGTGCAAAAAAATAGATTTTTTCTAACTTCCTGTGGCGGCCATTTAGTTGCTGAGCCGAAAATGCCGTGTCAGAATTCCAAAGCTGCCCTGGAGTAGACAATCATGAGCTAAATGAGCCATGGTAGGTATAAGGCATGGATGCATATATATCTTAGTTAAATGGCTTTTGCGAGTCTACCCCCCCCCCCCCAAAGTTTTAAAAAAATTGGACCGGGAGTCCAATTCTGTGGGCCCCAGAAGGAGGTGCCCCCATCCTTCATTGTTCCCAATGGAGGGAAAGATGCCTTCTCAGTTCACTTGTGAGCTGATGCAAAAATCCCTCATCTGCCAGCTAAAATTTTGTGCGCCAGCACTCTCTAACACAGCATAGAGGGAACTTTGGTCATGACAGAACAGTTGTATAAATTACTCAAGAGTTTATACCTAAATTAGCTTCTTCTCCTTTTCATTTTGTGTTGCGTATACAGTAATACCCCTTTTAACACTATGGTTAGGTTCCTGAAAAGAGAGTGAAATAGCTCTATAAGAGCCTGTGTGGATTGTCTTCCATGGCGAAGCCCCCTCTCAGAAGAGCTGCCACCATCTTCTCTGTGAGCCCCATAGTTCCTTCTGAGGCCCAAGTTTCTAGCTGTGGTTCCTAATGGAGTTGGGAGGTGGTTGTTTCACCCGCAGCAGTGCCGCATCGCTTCCTGCCCAGCTGTATTGATTTCTGCTTGGGCCGATTAGGCTGCAGAACTACCACCCAGCCCCCTCGTATAGATTTAATTTAAAAAAAAAAATGCACCCAGGATAAAGAATGCTGTAATCAAACATCTTTATAGAAGACAGCTTTAGATGAAACAGGCTTATAGGCGGCGTTACTGTGTTGTGGGCGGTGGCTTTTAATGGTTAATCACCACCTTGATGTAATGGTGCCTGGTAATGGCAGCAAAGTGATGTCCTTGGTAAATGGTACCGTCCTACTGCTTGGTGTATCATGCCAATCAGTGTCTCTCCTGCTCTTAGTGATACAACACTGTTCACTCCAGAGCAATTTGAATGTCAAAAATTCTGGTAGGCTTCATATTCCTTGCAGCAACAAATTAACCTTTTGTCTAAAGATTTTTTTTGGGTCTTGTTAAACAGAAGTGAGAAATGTGCTCTGAAGTGGAAACAACACCCTGTCAAAAACTCAAGCGAGCTAACTTTAGCATATTATTGCCAGCAACTGTATTAATAGAAAGCTGTGTGGACTCTCTTCCACATGACTGGATATTTGTTTTTATAAGAGACAATCTGCTCAGTGAAGTCTAGCAGAGTTTGGTGCAAACACCTCAAGTTTCTGAGGTAGAGAAAAAGTGATATGTATATATATTTTGTAATTAAAACATATAGAACAATAGAAGGGCTTCAAAATCACTGGGCGCCTATGAAGGTGTTCATAGGAGGACAAACACCTTAACACCCACAATTATAGACATTACGTTTGGTAATCAGGCATGTGCCCGCCCACTGGGCTCTTTACTGCCGGAGCTCCGCTCCTGTGCGCTCCTGCAGGAAATGACCCCTGCATATAGAACAATAGAAGGGCTTCCAAATCACTGGGCGCCTATGAAGGTGTTCATAGGAGGACAAACACCTTAACACCCACAATTATAGACATTATGTTTGGTAATCAGCAACACTAGTTAAAACCATAAAAAGGTAAAGGTTTCCTTTGCTCGAAAGCTAGTCGAATCCGACTCTAGGGGACGGTGCTCATCTCCGTTTCCAAGCCAAAGACATTTCCGTGGTCATGTGGCCAGCATGACTAAACGCCGAAGTGCATGGAATGCTGTTACGTTTCCACTGAAGCAGTACCTATTTATCTACTTGCAATTTCTTGCTTTCGAACTGCTAGGTTGGCAGGAGCTGGGGCCAGAGACGGGAGCTCACTCGGTCACACAGCACTGGGGTCTCGAACTGCTGAACTACCGACCTTCCACAGCCTGCAGTTCAGTGTCTTAACCTCTGAGCCACCGCAGCCCTAGAGTTAACACCATAGACCTATGTATTTTAGGAACCACAGCAGACATTCTTTATTAGCCCATTGTCTGTACTTCTCGTATCCTAAACCGGAACCTTACTGGCTTATAGGAAGTAAGTGTGTTACTGACCCTGTCCACATGACCTGTTTCCTTCAGACATTACTGGTACAGCATGAGAGCCTAAAATAATAATTGGAAGTTTGTTAATTGAAAAATTACAGAATTAACTTGGAAAAAATGTGGTCATGGACTTGTGTCTCTGCCACCATCAGGCAACCTTTTATAGGAATACCTATATTTTCTCTTAAACCAACCTTCCTTCCTTCCTTCCTTCCTTCCTTCCTTCCTTCCTTCCTTCCTGTCAGTATGCATGGTTCTAAAAGTGGAGAAGATGGGTCCCTATCCAGTCTACAGCAGTACTACACACCGCGGGGCTGCCACCATAAATGGCATCCCTGTGTGAAGCTTTGTCCGATAGTATGTCAGATCATGCGGTATGTTTCCCCACCTCTGCTGGTGTTGGCCAGCGATATGGGATTCCAGAGTGTGTACAATAAAATTACAACGCAAGGATGTTGCTGTGTAAATGTGGGGAATTTTATACTAGGGTGCCATTTTTGGTGGGAGTCCTGTGGTGTACTTAATATGTGGTTTCTTCATAAATATCTGTAGCAGGGGAAAGTGAATTGAAGGAGAAGAGAAAAAGGAAAGACAATTGTCATGAAATAGCAGGAAAGATGCCAGGTGTCATTTGTTTCCACCCTGCACGTGCATAGCTTTATTGAGATGCCAACAAGTAAATTCTTAAAATGGAGTGCACAGTCCACTAAACTGGCACCATAGCCTTAAACCACAGCAGAAGCATGTTTTAATAGCACATTTGGTAGGGCACCTGTGCCTTGGTTACTGGCAGATAGATTAGTACAAAAATCTAACTTGTACCTAATTTGCTCTGTTTTCAAGAATCTTCTTTGCAACCCAGTGTCCGATGTTCTGCTATTTGGGCTTATTTCACACATGCATATTTCGGTCTCAGTGATTGTAACTTTTTTCATCTCCTATAATCTCAGACTCTTCCACCTTCCATAATGGGCAAGTCATCTCTGTTTATGGCAGCAGATCCCCATAGGGAATAATGGGGTTTTTCCTTTCCCTCATCCCAACCATCCTTCAGGCAACGACCACCAAGTGCACTGAAGTGTGCCTGGCTACTGCTCATAATGGAAAGGTCATCCATAATGGGGAAACTCATCCATGCCTCCAATGTGTAGACTGTACTCTGAGGTCATTGGGTCTACCTATGGAAGTCACAAATGTCATTCTGCCCATAATATCTAAAAAGGTAAAGGTTCCCTTGCTTGAAAGCCAGTCAAATCCGACTCTAGGGTTGCGGTGCTCATCTCCATTTCAAAGCCAAAGCTCCATTTCAAAGCTGTCCGAAGACATTTCCATGGTCATGTGGCCAGCATGACTAAACACCAAGGCGCATGGAACGCTGTTACCTTCCCACCGAAGTGGTACCCATTTATCTACTTGCAATTTCTTGCTTTCGAACTGCTAGGTTGGCAGGAGCTGGAACTAGAGATGGGAGCTCACTCCATCATTCGGCACCCGGGTCTCGAACTGCTGAACTACTGACCTTCCACAGCCTGCAGTTCAACGTTTTAACCACTTGAGCCACCGCAGCTTTGTTTAAAACAATGCCATCTTGGTAATGCCCTATTTATGCCCTCCTCAACAACTGATGAATGACAGTGTTTTTTTTTTCCTTCATAGAGTTTCTATGTTCTGGTGAAAGCAATTTATACCCTTGGGCACAGTGCCTCTCTCATTGCTCTGACTACGGGAAGTATAATTCTTTGCGTTTTTAGGTAAGTATGCCTGGAAATGGGAAGGGGCAGATATTTTTGAATATCTTGTCTTGGTTTTGAACACTGGTCAAAGACAAAATGAGCCAAAAATGCAGAAGTTATGAAGCAACTGGAAACGCATCTTTTTTGTTACATCAGACTTCACTCTTTCAAACACAGTAGTTTTCAAGGGAGCTGGTTCATATAGTTCATCAAGTGCTGGAAAACAAAATGATATGCATACATGTGATAAACATATCTGAGAATGAAAGAATCTTGGTCCTGGATAGTACTTCCAGTCAGATTTGAGATAGTGCATAGAAAAGCATGCCTTTCAAGCCCAGGGGGATTTTTTAAAGAGTGTTTTGAACTTTTTAGTTCCATTTATATCTCTAGTAGGCTTCTTTTTCTCCTTTGCATGTGCCAGTAATATGAACTTAAAGTTTAAAAAATGAGAAAATAGCCCTGGATAGCCCGGGCAAGCCCGATCTCATCAGATCTTGGAAGCTAAGCAGGGCTGACCCTGGCAAGTACTTGGAAGGGAGTCCTCCAAGGAATACCAGGGCTGGGACACAGAGGCAGGCAATCAAGCCACCTCTCTGAAAAATGTCCTAGCCCCACTAGGGGTCACCAGAAGTCACCATGAGTTCCAGGCTCACAAGCACATACATACAAGCACGCGCACAGACACACAAAAAGAATGAGAACATACGATATCACCATCCTTCAAAAATAATGGCTGCAAAGTTAAGCTTTTGGCCATCTGGCAGTGTATACATGGAGACTGCATGACAAAAAGAAACTGAAGTGCCATCGTTCCTGTGATGTAGCTCTCGATTTATTGCTTGTAAGGGAAATGGGGGCATCTTCCATGGTGACCCTGAAATGGGAACCAAAATTTTGAAACTTTATGAATGCAGTTCTGAGCAGGCCTACTTACAAAGAAGTCTAATTTTATTAATTGGGGCCACAGGTTGCCCCGCCTCATATCGATTAGATGCAGAGATGAAATGCTGGAAGAGGGCCGCTGTGGCAGCATTATTACTTACTTGTCCAAGGAAACAATCCTAGACTAACCAGAAGGATCTTCAACACCCTGTCTATCTCAGAAACTGCAGTGCCTATCTTTTTGTGTGTAGGAAACTTCACTGCACTCGGAACTACATACATCTGAATTTGTTCCTGTCGTTCATTCTAAGAGCAATCTCGGTTTTAATCAAGGATGAGATCCTCTATTCCGGCACCAGCACAGATCAGTGCCCAGACGAACAACCGTCTTTGGTAAGGAAATAAATTGCTGTTAAAGATTTCTCCACCTGTCGCATGGGGGCGGTGGAACATCATACTGATGATGGAGAAGGTGCATTAAGTCTGATGCTACTTGTGAGATAAGACCTAGATAGATAAAGGTGGAGCTAACAGGTAATCTGGCAAAAAGTCTGCAAGCTGCCAAATAAAAGAACCAACCAGATTTCAAGGCACATAAGGGGGGATTTGGGTAGACTCTCAGGGATGTGGGGAAGGTCGATGCCAGGAGAAGACAGACACTATGAGAAGATTCCAGGAAGCTAGCCAGTTTGGTGTAGTGGTTAAGTGCGCGGACTCTAAACTGGGAGAACCGGGTTCGATTCCCCACTCCTCCACTTGCACCTGCTGGATGACCTTGGGCAAGCCATAGTTCTGGCACAGCTGTTCTTGAAAAAGAGCAGCTTCTGTCAGAGCTCTCTCAGCCCCACCTACCTCACAGGGTGTCTGTTGGGGGGGGAGGAGATTGTAAACCGCTCTGAGACTCCCTTGGGTAGTGAAGGGTGGGGTATAAATACAATCTCTTCTTCTCTTCT